GCAGAAACAGCTCTGAATATTTTGTAGTTTTGTGCAGTGACGCGCTCTCATTGTGCGGCTAAATATTAACATACCCCCTTCCTCCAACCACCAAATTCCTATTTTGGCACTGTTGGCTTCTGTTGGGTTTGGCCACCATTGCTTTTTTAACCAGGGAAGCGTCATGGAGAATTCTTTGACTCCCCCAGGGACCGAAGGATGTGACTGCATTTGGAGATCAGGGCCTTTGAAGATGGGGATGAAGGTGGAATGAGGTGGGTCCTGACCCAAAGGACTGGGGTCCTCATACCAAGAGGGGGTCAGGACCCAGACACACACTGAGGGATGACCACGTGAGCACATGGGGAGGAGACGGCCATCTGCAGGCCCAGGAGGGAGCCCGCGGGAGGGGCCAGCCCTGCCCACACCCGGGTCTCATGTTATAGCCTCCGTGACTTGGGGCCATGAATGTCTATGCTTGGAGGCACTGAGTCTGCGCTATTTTGCCATGATGGCCCCCAGGGGAGTCATGCATTCCTTTATAAAGGTCTGTCAAAGCTCACTTGGACATTTTAGGGGCGCGCTTGGCAACTGGAACCCCAATTATTTTCCATTTCTATCTAATGGTACTCACTGGCACGGAAGCCACTCTCCCTCAGGCAAAAGGCATCAGGCTCAAGCGGGCATCGTTTAGCTACCAATTTCTCAACTAAGGATATAAAGAGTTGGAGGCGTTTCTGTGAGGCTGGTTGAATTAAACATTCACGTTTCCCCCTGATGTTTTTTAGTAAAAAACCATTAAAATATAGGCCGTTAAAATTTCTAACCACATGGGGTTTTTAAAGAGTGATTATTTTTCACACGAACTGTTGGCCTCTGTTGAATCTGGCAAATACAGCTTTTCTAATCAGGGAAGCGTGATGGGGAATTCTTTGAGGATGTGTGGATGACCTTGAATTTTATGTCCTGGGCAGAGTGGAATGTTTCTCTTGCCCCCCAAAGCCCATAAAAGCCAGTGATTGAATGTTCATAGCTCTGGCCCAAAGCCACCCTTGCAAAGTTGTTGATCGGGAAGCCCATTCATTTCTTTCTCTTTGCTGTTTATTATTGAAGTATAGTTGATTTACAATGTTGTGTTTGCTTATTCTGTGTAGCATACTGACTCAGTTATACACATACATCCCTTCGTCTTCATATTCTTTTCTGTGATGGTTTATCACAGGGTTTTGAATCTAATTCCCTCTGCTATATAGCAGGACCTTGTAGTTTATCCACCCAATATGTAATAGTTTTCATCTGCTGAGCCCAAACTCCGAGTCCATTATTTCCCCTTGGCAATCACATGTGTTCTCTATGTCTGTGAGTCTGACTCTGCTTCGTAGACAAGTTCACTGGCACCGTATTTTATTTTATTTTGGGGGGGGAATTTTATTTATTTTCGAAAAATTATTATTGGAGTATAGTTGATTTACAACGTTGTGATAGTTTTGGGCATACAGCAAAGTAGCTCAGCTCTCCATCTGCATACATCCCCTCTTTTCCAAATTCTTTTCCCATATTGATCGTTACAGAGCACTGAGCAGAATTCCCTGGACGACACACACGGTCGTCCCTGTGTGTGTACAGGGAACTGTGACTGATTATTAACTAATAATAGCTAATTATTATAGCTCTCTCGTTTAGATAGAGTAGGGCTTATGGGTCAGTCCCGACCTTCTAACTTCTCCCCGCAACCACCCTCACCCTTTGGTGACCGTAGGTTTGTTCTCTGTGTCTCTGCGTCTGTTTCTGTTCTGCACATGAGCTCATCTGCACCATTTTAAACTTTTTGAAATACCCGATGTGGCTTGTCCCGGGTCTTCACAGCTCCGGGGGCTTTCTCTGGTTGCTGTTGGCGGGGGCCAGTCTCCAGGGGTGGTGGGTCGGCTTCTCTTTGCAGTGGCTTCACTCGCAGAGCGCAGGGTCTAGGCTGTGCAGAGTCCAGAGCTGAGGCTCACGGGCTTAGCTTTTCCGTGGCATGTGGGATCTTCCTGGACCAGGGATCGAACCTGTGTCTTCCTGCATTGGCAGGCGACCTTTTACACCCAAGCCACCAGGGAAGCCTTGTAGCATTTTTTTTTTTTAGCTTCCACATATTAGCGATATCATACGATACGTGTCTTTCTCTGTGTGACTTAATTCACTTAGAATGCTCATCTCTAGGTCCATCTGCGTTGCCGCAAATGGCATCATTGAATCATTTTTCATGGCTGCGTAGTATTCCCTTGTGTATACGTAGCCCATCTTCTTCATCCACCCCTCTGTCGATGGACCCTTAGGTTGCTTCCACGTCTTGGCTGCTGTGAATAATGCTGCAGTGAACACTGAGGTGCAGATCTATTTAATTTTGGATGATATCTTCTTTGTGTTCCTTCATGGGTCCCAGAATCTCCCATCTGTTACTTTCCATTGGCTGATCCAGTGAGTAGTACAGTATTTTTTTTTTTTTTTGGTCTTCTCCTTATTGTAGATTCTGTAATCACTCACAAATGTGGCTGTCCCGGTGGCAGAAGCTCATAGTTTCTACGGAACTGACCTCGGTCACCACGGAGCATGGCCTTGGGTAGAAATGAGTTGTGTTGCTTTCCTATCTGGAGTTTGACAAGATGCCTCCTTGTTCCACACGGCTCTGGTTCTTTCTCTCTCCCTTGTGAGGCTGGCAATGTTGCAGGTCTGGGCTGTCCCATCACCCCGGGCCCTGGTCCTGAGAAGAGCTGGGAGCCCATTGAGTGTGCGTAAACCACTGAGGTTCTGGGGCTGTGTGTTACAGCAGCATCCGCTAGCCTGCCCTGACTGATACCTCCATCAAAGGTCCTCTATCCCCTGGGCCGTTTCTCTCGGTTCTGTATTTACAGGGAGAAACGGCTCCTTTGTGCAGAAATACAAAGATGGACCTTGCGTTCCACAGTTCTTTCCACTTTGCTTTTCTGGGTGTGATGGTCAGCCTAATCGATTATGGTGTGTCAATGGCAGCCCACTCCGGTACTCTTGCCTGGAAAATCCCATGGGTGGAGGAGCCTGGTGGGCTGCAGTCCATGGGGTCGCTAAGAGTCGGACACGACTGAGCGACTTCACTTTCGCTTTTCACTTTCATGCATTGGAGAAGGACATGGCAACCCACTCCAGATTTCTTGCCTGGAGAATCCCAGGGAAGGGTGAGCCTGCTGTCTATGGGGTCACAGAGTCGGACACGACTGAAGTGACTTAGCCGCAGCAGCAGCAAAGACATTTATATAAAGAGGCAACAGCTCAATTATAATGGGTTGCTCAAGAAGTTTATTCTGGTTTTGCCTTAACTTCTTAGAGGAAAATCTGGACTAACTTCTTGGTCAAGCCAGTACTGATATTTCCCAACCATTCTGCTCAGACCAGTCAAGAAATAGAGTGGATGGAGCAAAGCAACGCCTCCCCCTCCATGAGTGATTCTCAAAGTGCTCCCTGACAATGCCACAGGGGTGATCATTTTTAATACATTACCGACCTGGGGATTTTTGCAGAAATGAACACCAGTAGCTAGCGATTTGTTATGAAAGTGAATATTGAAACAGTCCTGTCAATAACGTTCGGGGAACAAAACACCCTAATAGCTATTTAAAAGAAAAAAATAGAAGTGTAGCATTCTATTCATTCTAAGCCAAAAAAGTGGAGTCAAAACGTCATTAAATTTGCAGTCAAAAATTCATAAATTTTCTAAAATATATATTATACATATTATTTATATATATGGATACAAAAGCATTTATACATATATATGTACAGGCATATATATGTATACAAAAGCATTTATACATATATATGTACATTCATATCTATGTATACAAAAGCATTTCTGTGCTTGAGAAAGCCTTGAGGGAGAACATAAAAAAAAGAGAGATGGAGAAATTGGAGAACATAAACTAAATGAAATGGGAACACTGAATATGAAATAGAAAAAGAGAAACAAACTGGATGGAATAAACAATCATCATACAGTCCACCAGCTGTTTTTAAACATGGCTGCTCATTAGAAATGTATCTGGAGCTCTGGACCAAAAAAAAATGCAATACTTGGGCATGTGTATTTTTCCAAAAAATTTCCAAAATAATTGTGGCATGCATCTGGATATTAAACAGAGATTCCAAGTGTTCCTTTTTGGTCTGTTGTCTTGTCTAATTTTACCTCCCCTCCATCACGGATACGCCCTGACTCTCCACGGGTGCAGCTGGGCAAGCGGAGGGTTAGGGTTTCATCTCTAGCTCTGTGACCCTGGAAAAGTGCACCACAGACCGCAGGTTCTGGCTTCAGGCTTTGTGGCTGAGACCTTGAGATCCCAGGGGTGTGCGTCTGTGGTGTGTCTGTGTGTGGTGTGCCTTTTTGTGTGAATATCTAAAGGAAGCATCGAGATTTTCTGCATGCAGAGTCCTACAGTTCCAGGACGGGACTGCAAGGTTATCTTTTTTTTTTAATTTTGTGGTTGTTCAGTCACTCAGTCGCATCCGACTCTTTGCAAACCTCAGTGATTGCAGCACGCCAGGCCTCCCTGTCCATCACCACGTCCTGGAGTTTGCTCAAACTCACGTCCATCGAGTCGGTGATGCCGTCCAACCATCTCATCCTCTGTCGTCCCCTTCTCCTCCCGCCTTCAATCTTTCCCAGCATCGGGGTCTTTTCCAATGAGTCGGCTCTGCGCATCAGATGGCCAAAGTAGTGGGGTTTCAGCTTCAGCATCAGAAAAGATAATTATTTAATTATCTTTACAGAAAATTTATGTATTTGGCTGTGTCGGGCCTTGAGCTGCGGGATCTTTCTTTGGGGCTCACGGTCTCCGTAGTTGTTGGGTATTCCCGGGATTGACCCCATGCACCCTGCATTGGCAGGGTGACCCCTGGGTCACCAGAGAAGTCCCTACAGGGTTATCTTGAGTCCGCATCTTCAGAAATAATTAAGCACGTATCTGGCTGAGCGGCAGGCTGAATACTGACGGTCGGACTCAGATTCTTACCCGGGTGTCTGCAGCCCTGGAAGGAGGTTGTGCTGCCGGAAGCCTCGCGTCACCGTCTGCCAGGCAGGCTGCAGAGTCTCCAGGGATGGCGGCCAGCTTGGCTGGTTCTGCTTACCTCCTGGAACTGTCAGGTTTGGAGGCTCAGTGCGTTTGTCAGGGGCAGCTGCGTGTCTGTCGGGCAGCACCTCCTCCTGCAGTGCGAACGGGCTTCTCTGCTCTGTTCCGAAGGCCCCGGCGAGCCGGCCCCCGTCCAAGGGCCACGCCGTGGTTCCGTTGGACGTGACAGCCTCCTACATCAGAGCGAGCGACGGGGCACCTGGCTCTCAGAGCCGTGTCAGTTCCACACCGCCAGGGAAGCATCTGGGCGTTGCCAAACCGCGAGGTCCCAGCAGATGGGAGCCTCCCAGTTAGTTCTAAGTCACGTCTTAATGACGACTCTGGGCCAAAGGAACCCGTGGAAATACGTGACAGGTATCAATTCAGGCAATGTATCTGCGCCAAAGAGGGAGTTTCTTCCTGCAGCATTTTCGGGGCGGACAATCTCAAACCCTGAGTCGGAATATGCCACCAGAAAGTGGAGACTTGACCAGCTGCCCTAGCACATGTGCACGTGTGGTGTGTGTGTCTGTGGTGTGTGTCTTTGTGTGTGTGATGTGCGTGGAGCGTGTATGTGTGTGTATGGCACGTATGCACGTGTACGGTGTGTGTGTGTGTGACGGGTGCACGTTGCATGTGCATATTTGTGGTTTGTGTTGCGTGTGCAGTGTGTATATGACATGTATGTGTGTGGTGTGTGCGTTGTATGTTTGCATGTGTGTCTGTGTCTCTGTGTGTGATGTGTGTGTGTGTGTGTGTGTGTGCCCCGGCAAGCCGAGCCCCCGTCGGCCCCCTCCCGGCTGTTGCGGGTCTGAGACCCGTCCCACGGGGTGTAGGACCCTCAGCCCCACGCGGACCCTTCCGGTAAACAGGAGACGTCGGGGGCCCGGGAGGGGTCTGGGGGGCTGGCCCTTCTTGGGGGGTGGGGGCGACGACTGCCCGGACGAGCCCCGCTCCTGCTCCCGCCTCTGCTCTGCGTCCTGCAGGCGCGGCCTCTCTGCTTTCTCCCCGCGGGGACCCAGCGCAGAGCACACTCCATTGCAGCGGGCGAGGGGGAGACGGGGCGTGGGTGGGCTTTCCATCCCGCGGGCACGTCAGACAAGCTTTCACTGCAGAGGGCGGCCGGGGGCCAAGCCCCTGGGTCGCAAGGTCACACCCGTCTCTGCTTTAATGGCCCACGAGGTCATCTTGTCATCGGATCCAGGAGCTGGCCTTCCTGTATTTTGCGAACCGGTGACCACCCCTCGGCAGGGGCTTGGATGATTTGTTATCAGAGCCCAACACGTGTCAGAAAACGTTCTCGGGTTCTCGGAGCCGCAGAGAGTTATTAGTGCAAATTAGCCTTAAATAGGAGGAGTGATATTCCATTCCGGTGTTTGCATCTGGGATGACTTAGACTAATAGACCATTTTTGGGGGAGAGCAGACGGTGCACTTGCCAGGTGCCTCAGTGGTAAAGACCCCTCCTGCCAATGCAGGAGGCGGGAGAGACGCCAGTTTGATCCCTGGGCCGGGAAGATCCCCTGCAGGAGGGCATGGCAAACCCACTCCACTGTTCTTGCCTGGAGACTCCCATGGACAGAGGAGCCTGGTGGGCTGCAGTTCACGGAATCGCAAAAGAGTCGGACACGGCTCAGCAACTGAGAACCATTTTTTTCGACTTCTGTTTCGATTATGCTTGTAGATATAAGAGGAAATTCATTTAAATGGTGCTAGATCCACCAAAATGGAGTAATATTTTCTGTATTCTGTCCACAGACAGAAACGACCCACGAATGTAGCTGGTTCTAGGCAGAGATCAGAGCTGACCGGCAGCTTTTTAAAAAAACTTTTTATTTTATGTTAGAGTGTAGCCGATTAACAATATGATGAGAGTTTCAGTGGACAGCAAAGGGAATCAGCCATATTACATACACATGTATCCACCCTCCCCCAAACTCCCTTCCCTTTTTTTTTAATGTAGCCCATTATTATTTTTTTTTAATTCAATTGAACTGGTACATTATTGCTTCTGTTTTCTTGTTTTGGTTTCTTGGCCACAAGGCATGTGAGATCTTCCCTCCCTGACCAGGGATCAAACCCTCCCTCTGTGAGTTGGAAGGTGACGTCTTAACCACTGGACCCCCCACCCCCCCCAACCCAGGGAACCGCCTGTGATTTCTCGTGTTTAGCCGCTAAGTCATGTCCAACTTTTTGCAACCCCATGGACTGTGAGCGCCAGGCTCCTCTGTCCACGGGGTTCTCCAGATAAGAACGCTGGAGTGGGCTGCCGTGCTCTCCTCCAGGGGATCTTCCCACCCCAGGGATCGAACCCGCCTCTCCTGGGTTGCAGGCGGATTCTTTACCATTTTGAGCCACCGGGGAAGCCCTGGAGGGGAGCAGAGAACAGGCAGAAACAGCTCTCAACAGGGACTGAACCCGGGTCTCCTGCATTGCAGGCAGATTCTTTACCCACTGAGCCACTGGCGAAGCCCCTGTGGTCTACATCGATGTAAATAAATAAACCATAGAGGTTGTTCACCTCTCTTGGAGATGGTGGAAGCTGGCTTCTCCAGGTCAGCGCTGTGTTTTGGAATTCCTGCATGCGTGTCTGTATGTGTCTGCACTTATAGCCGGCTCGTCGCTGGCACTGGTGATAAGGATTCCTCATTGATTTATCCGTTGTACTGCAGAGAGGAGTTTAGAATTTCTCCCGCCTGGGGGTTCGGACGCTACTGCGGCTGGGAGGGGTCTGGTCTGTGTCCTTGGCTGTGCTTGGGTTGTCGTGTCTTTGTGGGGGGGCGTGCACCCCGAGATGGGATTGCCGGGTTATGGGGGTGTGGGTACATTCCTTTGGGGGTGGGGGGACCTTGTTGAAAAGGGTGTTGGGGAGTCGGTGGAAAGAATCGATTTGTCAGAAATGCTGTTCTCCGGTTCCCCAGCGCCCCCAGCCTCCGTGCAAACCCAGCCCCAGTTGAGGGCGGCGGGAAGCAGAGATCCCCTTGCCCTGGGCCATGCACAAGGCAACGTCAGACCCGCCTCCTGGTGCCCAGGGTCACCTGTCCTAACAAAAGCTGTGATGAACGCCCACATGAGGGGTCAGCGGGCTCCTGCGTCTCCGTCTGTATGATTCATCTGCGGAGACAGCAGGGGGAACGGGGAGGGTGGGATGAGCTGAGAGAGTATCTCTGACGTATACACACCACCTTGTGCGAAACAGCCAGCCAGTGGGAAGCTGGGGTCTAGACGAGGGGCTCAGCTCGGGGCTCCGTGATGACCCAGAGGGGTGGGTGTGGGGTGGGAGGCAGGCTCGAGTGAAGGGATGTAAGTGTACTGACAACTGCTTCCCTGATGCTGGGCAAGACTGAGGGCGGGAGGAGAAGGGGGCGACAGGGGATGAGATGGTTGGATGGCGTCACCGACGCGACGGGCATGAGTTTGAGCAAGCTCCGGGAGACAGTGATGGACAGGGAGGCCTGGCGTGCTGCAGTCCACGGGGTCGCAGAGAGTCGGACACGACCGAGCGACTGAACGACAATAATAAATAGCTGATTAGCCGAGTTATAGAGAAGAAACCAACATGACATTGTAAAGGAAGTATCTTCAAAAAAAAAAAAAGCCATAAAGAAAACAAGAAAAGAATTCTTTTCCCAGTGTAATCATATGACCTAGTCTTCATTTACCAGCTCATCAACCCCCCCATTCAAGTGTCTGAAAGATGAACACTTTATTTCCTGTTTTCTTCCAAATTTAAAACGTTGAAATTTAATTTACAACGTTGTGGCGCCTTTATTTTTCCTAGGCATTTTATTTTTAAACATTTTGCATTGAGTGAAACATTCTTTAAATTCCATAGGGCCTTGCAATTTTTTAAAGTTTCATATGCATGGTTTTTATTTCTATTTATTTTTAAGTTTTTTATTTTATATCAGAATATAGCAGATTAACAGGGTTGGAACAACGTCTCAAGGGAAAAGCAACAAGACTCAGCCACACACATACACATGTACCCATTCTCCCCCAAACTCCCCTCCCATCCAGGCTGCCACGTGACATTGAGCAGAGTTCACTGGGCTGGCCAGCAGGTCCTTGCCGGTTCTCCATGTTAAACACAGCCGTGTGTCCACGTCCATCCCAGACTCCCTGACTGTCCCTTCCCCCATCCTTCCCCCTGGTGACCATCAGGTTATTACAGAGTACTGAGCAGGGGTCCCTGTTCTGTCCAGCAGATCCTTGCTGGTTATGCATTTGAAATATGCACATGGTTTTATATAATCCTGTAATAACCCCTTTTTAAAAAGTCCTCTCCCCAATCTTGCCTGCTCCCCCTCCCCCACTGGTAACCACTGGTTTATTTTCTGTATCAGTAACTGATTCTATTTTTTGTTGTTGTTACACCTACCAGTTGTCTGTACTTTTTAGATTCCACATATAAGTGATCGCGAACAGTAACTGTCTTTCTCTGAAATGACGTGTCCTTTAAAAATGGCCCTTTCAGGGAAGCTCTTTCCTCCTTTTGCTAAGACAGGAACAATTTAGTTGCAGTGGATTCTCCACGCCACAGCAATGGTGCTGGTTCATCTGGATCACTTTTCTTTTGTCCTCTTTTTTTTTCCCCCCTTAAACGGAATTTACTCTCAGTTCTTTGGTAAATTATCTCCAGCTGTTTATAGAAAGTGGTGGCCCTGTGTATAAATCAGAAGCCTGTCATTTCTCAAAGCCCTTGTAGACACGTTTCCAAGTACGGGCGAAGTCAAACTAAAATGGCCTGTTTCCAATGCTGTCTTGGCTCAGGGGAACCCACCCAAGATGCCATGACCTCCGAGGGGACCGTGAAAGAGGTTGTGGTTGTTCTTCGCTCAGTCGTGTCCAACTCTTTGCGACCCCATGGACTGCAGCACGCCAGCCTCCCTGTCCTTCACCATCTTTCAGAATTTACTCAAACTCATGTCCAGCGAGTCAGTGATGCCATCCAACCATCTCATCCTCTGCCGTCCCCTTCTCCTCCCACCCTCAATCTTTCCCAGCATCAGGGTCTTTTCCAATGAGTCAGATCTTCCCATCAGGTGGCCAAAGGATTGGAGCTTCAGCTTCAGCATCAGTCCTTGCAATGAATATTCAGGACTGATCTCCTTTAGGGTGGACTGGTTGGATCTCCTTGCAGTCCAAGGGACTCTCAGGAGTCTTCTCCAACACCACAGTTAGAAAGCATCCGTTCTTTGGCGCTCAGCGTTCCTGATGGCCCAACTCTCACGTCCGTACATGACTCCTGGCAAAACCATAGCTTTGGCCACATAACGTAATTAGCTAGTTTTTCGGCCTTGCTGGGTCTTGGGTGCTTCATAGACTTTTCTCTGGCTGCAGTGAGCAGGGGCAACTCTCCAGGTGTGGTCTGCGGGCCTCGCATTGCGCTGGCTACCCTTGTTGCAGAGCACGGCTTGCTTGCCCACAGCGCGTGGGATCTTCCTGGACCAGGGATCGAACCCGAGTCTCCTGCATTGGCAGGCGTATGCTTTACCCCGGAGCCACCAGGGAAGCCGGGAGAAACTAAGTCTCGGTTTCACGCCTCGTGACAAATCCCTCCTGTTTCCTGGTTGTCTGTCCTCACCTGACCCGGAGCCCCAAGAAGGTGACTCTCCCTGGCAGCCCCCTGGTGGTTTCACAAAATCCAACATCCCTGAGCTTGCTTCCCTCACTTACAAAATTCACTTCAAAATTGCAACGCCCGGTGGCAGCATCTTCCACGTGGGCTGCCGTGGTAAGACCAGCACAGAACTGCATGTTCCCATTTGTCTTAGCGGCCAAGGATATTTCCACCAGACTTTGCCGACCAAATGCCAGACTGTGTTACTAAATGATCCAGAAAATGTCCTTTCCGGTCAGACTATGTCTCCAGGAGAAGAAAAAAAAAAAAAAAAAGGAAAACAAAGCTGAAAACTGTGAAAAGAGACTTCTTCTAATGCAATTGGACTTGAAATTGCCAACGTTTGGCAGAATGGGAAAGGCAGGGCACACTGCAAGTTATATAAATTACCCGGAACGGGGACGCTTTGTATTTTCAAGGACAGGAAATGCACTATTTGTCTCCCAACCTGT